CGATAACAGCTCTGTGCACATCACACATAGGGAGGGACTTACCCTTCTACTCTCTTCCAAGTCTTTTTCATTAGCTGAGAGTTTTCTGTTAAGGAAACCAAGGTTTGTTTGTTTTGTTTGTTAGTTTGTTTGTTTTCAGTCCTGATTCCTACACAGAGGGAGAGAAGAGCTGAAAAAGAACCTCTTAAGAAGAAAACAGACCCTAAGGGGTGTTCAAGGCTCGGAGGCTTCTGGAATGGAGAGTCCACTACAGCAAAGGATGATGCACATGGAGGAGTTGGATTCTCACATGGATGGACTGCTCTGACCCAGAGGGCAGAGGCTGTGGGCCTGAGCTGTGGCCAGGCTGGAGCACTCGGATCTGGTAGGACAACACAGGTAGGAGCTGCCTGTCACTGTTTCCTCCTGGGATTTCACATCCCATTGGAAATCAGGGGGCCAGCACTTGGGCAGGAACTGAGTGTGCTGTCAGTTATGCTGTATGACTCCAAGGAGGAAAAAAAAAGGAAAAAAAAAAAAGAATAAAATAAAAAATTAAAGTTGAAGATCCAACCCAAGTGGGTCACTAGACAAAGTCCATTAGTGCAGGGAGAGTGCACAGTTACAATGGCAGAATGGTAGATTAGTTCTCTTTGTTCTGTCACACAAACCTTACAGCTGAAACTTGAGGACTATCAAATCCTTTTAAAGCTTTTCTTTTCCAACCATCCTGAAGTTCCACTATTAGTAGCTATTATGTACTTGCCATTTGTATTTTGAATAATAAAGTCTAAATTGTAACTGTTCACAGAATGTCAAATGCAATTGCAATGGCAGTGTTGTTCTTTTCTCATTTCTCCTATTGAAGCCCATTTTGGACAACTTGCTCCTCCACCCACTGCCTGTGCTGAATCTCGGAGCCAGTTAAAGCACATGCTAATGGCAGGCTCTGCTCTGAAACAATGTGTGTGGAAGCACTGTTCTCATGTTGGTGGCAGCTAATGCCAGATCATACTCTGACTCTGGGGAAATCAGGCCTTGGTGTCACTGGAAGATTATTGCACTTCCCAGTTCCTGCCCCTTGAATTTTAATTTGGCTTAAGTTGGCAGAAGAATTTAAAATATGGTTGTAGTTTCTGGTTTAGATGTGCAAAGTTGTTTAGAAATCTGGCGTGTCTGTGCTCGGCTGCCGAGGGCTCTGCTCCAGTCGGGCTGGGCTGGGACAGCCAGGGCAGAGCCTGGGGCCAAAGCTCCCACCCTCCTGCTGCCACAGGCAAACCCGAGCTGGCTTACAACCCAGGAGTGACCCACACACAGCCCAGCTGTGCACACTGGGCAGCACAGGCAGTGTGAGGCTTGGTAATAAATATTTCAGGGCCTCAGCTGTACCTTTTCTGCCCTGAGAGCAAAAGGAGCCGTTCTGCAGCTCCCCCGTTCCAAAGCTTCTGGCTCTGGTGTATCTGCACCGTCATTAATTCTTCTGTCCAGAGGGCATCCAGCCCTCCAGGAAACAAAGACACCCTCTGACATTTAAGAGTAAGCCACAAGAAGGAAAGATACTGAATGCCTTTAATACCTCCAGCCTACAAAGTCTCTGCAGAGACAGGCAGGTAACTGGAATCTTGCCCAAGAAAAACAAGCAGAAAACTGTAATAATTTTATTCCACAATACAGCCATTCCTGCTCCTAAAGTGTTTTCTGACAGATAAAAACCAGACAAACATCAGTCAGAGACTGGCAGCTCCACTGGGTGTCCAGGGGCAGGAGAGGCTGGTCAGAATTATTGCTGTGTAAGGAATCAAGTCTTAAATCCTCAGCCATTGAGTGCCTGAGCCTTTCAGGAGATTCTAGCACATACCTGTGGTTAGATAATTTGCACCTGGAGAAAGCATGCCTTGGATTTTGCTGGAAATGTGATTAGACTAAAGTTGTAGCTTTCCTTTTCTGAGCTTGCAGCTCTAAAGCCAGGGATGATACTTACCAGGCAGGAACACTATGGGAGGATAATGAAATGGCTCTTCAGATACACGACAATCTCACAGCTGCAGTGAGAATAGCTTCAGGGGAAATAAAAAAAAAAGCATAAACCTCCCAGATCATCTTGCTACCGAGAAAATAAATGTCAAGTGTGTCCTTCCTGCAGCCCTCGGGCAAGAAACCCCAGAAAGCAAATGCAAGGCTCGTTCTACTTCTGCTGAAAGCAACTGGGGTTCTGACCCAGCCGTGAACTGGAGCAGCTCCTAGACCTGGCAATTCATAAATACGAAATTCTGAGCAAAGAGCCAGTTCCTTGGAGAAACACACACCACCTATACAAATCTTTCCTCCCACAGAAGGAATTCCTCTCTCTGTCTGGGCTCTTTTTCTGCTGCTTATGGGAAGGATCTTCGCTGGTCTCTCCGAGAGCCTCTGGCTGGCACAGTGTGAGCTGGGATGCCTATTCTGCTCCATGGCAAACAGACCCCAAAGTGGAAAAGCCCAACCTTCAAACTCTCATCAATGGTTTATTTGCCCTGATGGAGGCTACAAATGCAGGAGACTAGGACAGACATCAGGGCTCTTGTGAATGACACTTTGAAGTGCATTATTAATTGGAATTAGCAATAATTAGATAATTTGGAAAATAGAAGTGCTGCTATTATTGGAACAAGCAGGACGACTGGAGCTTCTTAATGAACTGGATTGGGCTGTTAAACCTTGGACTTGCAAATGATGTGAATTCTTGGCTCCGCACCTCAATGTGGGACCTTCTTACCCAGACACAGAATTTGGAGTCTGGCAAGAGACATGTGCTCTGTGTCCTGTGTCCCTCTCATGCGTTCCCCATCCTGTAGCTGCTCCCCTACTTTTGTCCTGCATGACATGGCCACAGAGGTGCTAGGCAAGACATGGACAGTGGGAACAGAACCATGGACGGGGGCAGGAGATCACGGATGAGAAAACACCCTTCTTTCTTCCTTTTTTTTTTTTAATAAGGAATGAGTGACGCATGCAGGATGCAAAATGAGAAGGTTGATAATATCTAGTTTAAAAATATGCTGTCTAAAATCTTTGAAACCTTAACTGCCTTTATTTTTGTGTTTCTGTGTCAGCATCTGCCAGGAGGGATCCAGACGTGGGAAAAACACTTGTCAAAGAAGTGTTGAGACTCCACCGGGAGATTCGGGTCGGGAGAGGTTTGTGAAGATGGTTTTCCCCTTTTCCCGCTAACGCACTGCCGGGGTCTCTGCAAGCACGGATGCTCCGTGCCCCGCTCGCGG